GGACTACGGCTGTTTGAAAGGTTTTCTTCCATAAAATTAATTGATTCTAGACTAATTTGACTTAACATTTCCAAATCACGTATAATTTTTTGGGAATAATCCATATAAACTATGCTATAAACAAAAAATTGTAGGATTATTTACTGAGTGTGCACTGTTCGACGACGCCATTGCTTAAGCTTGTTTTCGTCGTAGAGCGGTGCATCGAACGGCGGGCGAGTGTTTTCTGATAAGTTATTTTTCTGCAAAAATTCGCTGAACTTTGGAGACATCATTAATATAAATATAATTTTTATGGCCGTTAAATAATAAATGGTTTTTAGTAGGTCGGCTGCTCGTTCAACTCAACGGTTTGTGCAATGTTTGCTATTGGTCCAGATTCGACCAATCCCGTCGCAACACGAGTCGGCGATGATGTTTTATCGTGTTATACGAGTCTCTTTTAGCGTGTTATACGAATACGATCGCAATTTTTTCGCTGTTATACGAATTTGTGTTATATGAACAGGTGTTTTAGGGGTCTACTGTATATCATTGTAATTAAAAATTTTTTTATTTCAAAACGTATGAGTAATAGCAGTGAGCTATTCTCCGTGTTTGGACTTGATCTGTCAGGTGCCAGAAGACAACTTGGGTTGGAAATCGTATTAGCTCTTTTCTTTTGTCTAAGGCATAGTTTAACACATGTAGAATGAAGTTTGTAATTTGTCATAAATGCAAAAATAAATCATTCTCAAGAGGGATGTTTAGCCACTTAATAAATCTCCTTATCTTTTGTATATTTCAGAGCGTAACTCGCTTCCTAGTCTTTATCATATACAGTGGTGCCTCGTATAACGTACTTAATCCGTTCCAGGTGCACGTCCGTTATACGAAACGCATTTTCCCATAGAAATACATGTTAAAACATATAATTCGTTCCGCAGCATAAAATAACCGTACTGTACCATAAAAAATGAAAATGGAGCAGACACCAATTATGCCGGGTAGTCAGATGTTGTGAGGAGGAGGTGGAAGAACACTTTCTTTACACATTCATACAGATACAGACTTTTTACACATTGCAGCGGGTCTNAAGTGTTGCCATACCGTAAACATAAAATAAAATTAAAATGTTTTTTAATTATATCATTTAAAAACTATTTTAGTTTCATTATGTTATATTATTACGGACTATGCGTTTACATTTAATAATGAAAACTTTAATAAAGTGAATATAACGCGTAGTGATATTTTTTTTAATTCAAAAAGTTCTTTTAGCGCCCTCTTGGGCACTAAAGCAGCAGTGTTGCCAAAATAGGGTGCGTTAATAGCGGTCGCTCTGCGTCTCTGCTACTACGGGAGTGCGCCGCTGTTTGTAGGCATTTAGGAACAACGGTGAAAGAAAGAAAGATGGCGGCGCCCGCACTGTAGATAGTATCGTGATTGAGGAATCTATAATTCTAAAATATGAGCTTTTAAAGGCAAAAGAAGAATCCCAATTGTAAAATTTAACCATAAAATGGATTATTTGTTGAAAGATCATTCAAAATAGCCACGAAAAAATTAGAATGCCGGCTAATATCCGAAAAAATTCGAAAAGACACTTACATCACCGCGTGCACTAACTTGCGCTTTCACAACTTCTAAATTTTTATTCATAAAAACCACATAATTGACCCCGAAACGAAACTATCTGAGCCATGGAGGACGCCATGTTGCTTTCCACCGCAAACTACTGCTACAAGCGGCCGTTTTTGCCGTTCGACGGCGCAGTCCAACCAGAATTTAGGAACGCGTTCCGCAGGCATTTTTAAACGGATGTCGCTCGCGCGGAGTTACGCGGAGGAATAAAAGAACGCACCCATAGATATTTTTCATCTAGTTCTAGATTACTGTATTTTTGTTGATCTAGATGTTTAAAATACAGATTTAGATAATGAATGTTAATCTAGATTATTTTTATTTCAGTCTAGATAATTTTAGATATTTTTTAAGTTTAGATATTAAATTTGTCAACTTCAATGTATAGGAAAAAAAAATTGAACTTTTAACCATGTGCTTATTAGGAGTCATTAGAAGTCATTCAGCTGCTCCACTACTAATGAGTCTTTAATTTTCGGGAGTTGTGACGTATGCCATAATTGAATCATTATCTGATCAATCATTAATTTATCTTTTCGGTCATCAGTGAATATTTCGATCCAGATGTGGAAAGGACATTAGACATTTGTAATCTCCACATTTGCCTCTAGCATATGTATTCTTAAATATAATTAAAATATAACAGCTTATGTATTATTGAAAAGTTTGCTTAATTAGAACTTAAAACTACTTTTAACAGAATTATTGCAAAATGCCGAAATTTAAACAATATCAACAAAAGATTCGTAAGGAGTGGTTAGAAGACAAATTTTTAGAGAGGTCGCGGCCGACGTTATCATCGCGAAAACGTCGGCCGCGACCTCTTTATTAATGAAATGAGTAATGGCGATTCCCTGAGACGAAACTAAAGCTCATTGTATGTATTTTAAGTGCGATCTAAAAGACTCATGCAGAATCAAAGAAACATGGTAGGACAATGCCCTATAAGACTCAATCTCCTCTGACTTCTGTAACATGCGGTATAATAATGAATCATCCGAACTTAAAGAGCTACGTTTATGAGCTGCCATTGTGCCATTTAAAACTGTGATCACTTAGTTGACATGTACAAGGCCAATATTAATGACAGCAAGACAGTTTCAAGTATGAGAATGCATCGTATAATTTGTACAAACATTATGAAAAGTATCCTTTGTGCTCGTTTTAAACAGTGTGTGGCGGCCGAATAATTGTAACCTAGCGCTGCATCTGAAAATCCAGATGGTGCTATTAAAACATGTGCTGTTTGTCCGCCATATTCTTCTTCTCTCTCTTGGCTACCCTACTCATGACAAGTGAATGTTCTGTACCGACGCAAGCTTGTAACCGATAGAGCTTTACTCAATAAGTGTAAAACAAAATCTTATACGTGATTGTAAATAAATTTTCATGGTGAGATATAAAGCTTCGGTTATTTTATAAATCAACGAACACTCAAGTGGTGCATCAACCACCACACAGTGTTTGAGAGATAATATAGATGATAATAGAAATAATATAGAAATAAAATAAAAGAAAATATTGCCTGCTGGTCCGAACAAACTTTAATAAAGAATTTTTATATTCGCCAAACCGTATATTAAAATACGTTTAATGTTACAAACATGGTTTTTAATACCATCGTTTTATAAGTTCGAAGAAATCAATTAATATGAAATTTCAGGTATCCAGATATAAAAACATGTATTTCAAATGGAAAAACAAATTATAGTTTAATTGAATAATTTTAATATCGATCGTTCTGCCATAATTAAGACTACGATATTTGCATCTTTCTTATTTTTTTACTCCAGATATTACGAAAATAAAATATTTCATATAACAGGTGGATACAGTAGACTCCCGTATAACACGGTAGATACGTTCCGTGTTATATGAATTCCGTGTTGTACAAGTCATTTAAATACATGAGCCAATCACAGCCCGACACGTGTGCAGTTTAGAGGCTACAGCTGTTTGAAAGGTTTTCTTCCATAAAAGTAATCGATTCTAAACTAATTTGACTCAACATTTCCAAATCACGTATAATTTTTTGGGAATAATCCATATAAACTATGCTATAAACAAAAAATTGTAGGATTATTTACTGAGTGTGCACTGTTCGACGACGCCATTGCTTAAGCTTGTTTTCGTCGTAGAGCGGTGCATCGAACGGCGGGCGAGTGTTTTCTGATAAGTTATTTTTCTGCAAAAATTCGCTGAACTTTGGAGACATCCTTAATATAAATATAATTTTTATGGCCGTTAAATAATAAATGGTTTTTAGTAGGTCGGCTGCTCGTTCAACTCAACGGTTTGTGCAATGTTTGCTATTGGTCCAGATTCGACCAATCCCGTCGCAACACGAGTCGGCGATGATGTTTTATCGTGTTATACGAGTCTCTTTTAGCGTGTTATACGAATACGATCGCAATTTTTTCGCTGTGTTATACGAATTTGTGTTATATGAACAGGTGTTTTAGGGGTCTACTGTATATCATTGTAATTAAAAATTTTTTTATTTCAAAACGTATGAGTAATAGCAGTGAGCTATTCTCCGTGTTTGGACTTGATCTGTCAGGTGCCAGAAGACAACTTGGGTTGGAAATCGTATTAGCTCTTTTCTTTTGTCTAAGGCATAGTTTAACACATGTAGAATGAAGTTTGTAATTTGTCATAAATGCAAAAATAAATCATTCTCAAGAGGGATGTTTAGTCACTTAATAAATCTCCTTATCTTTTGTATATTTCAGAGCGTAACTCGCTTCCTAGTCTTTATCATATACAGTGGTGCCTCGTATAACGTACTTAATCCGTTCCAGGTGCACGTCCGTTATACGAAACGCATTTTCCCATAGAAATACATGTTAAAACATATAATTCGTTCCGCAGCATAAAATAACCGTACTGTACCATAAAAAATGAAAATGGAGCAGACACCAATTATGCCGGGTAGTCAGATGTTGTGAGGAGGAGGTGGAAGAACACTTTCTTTACACATTCATACAGATACAGACTTTTTAC